GTCGGCACTGAGGAGTAGAAAAAGGAGCCACCTCACCTATGCAAGGCGAGTCAGGTGGAAGAAAGATGACCCCTAAAGCAGATCTCAGGGGAAGGCATAGTGGGTATGGCCCAGGCCAGGCACTGGAGTTGCATGGGTACTACAACTCCCAAAGTGCTTGATGGGAAACTTGGGCAAATTCATGGCAAGTACTCCTGGAAACTTGAGAGATGTCTATTGATGATGACAATGTGAGTGGACAGTTTTACCTATTTCTCCCCAACACTGGGAGTTGGCATTTATAGTCTTTGCATTAAGGCTCAGGCAAAGCAATGATGGCCAATCCTTTTGCAGTTCTGAAACTACTGCTATGACAAGATTTTCTCTCTTTAAATTCAGGAGAATTAATTACATGGATTTTGTATTCAGAACTTTAGAAGAATTAGTTTTATTTTCCTTCAGGTAACAGAGCTGTCCTCATACAACACTGAGGATTCCACAGGCAATAAGACACCAGTGTCCAGTGAGTCTGGGCCCCACAGGTACCAGACTTCTGGGGTGACAGAGTATCCACAGGGAAACCATCATGATATGAAGAAAGCTATATTAACAGGGCTGGAAGGGGCTCATGGACCCAACAATAGGGGAGACAAAGAAAGAGAACAACAGAGAATGAGAGAAAGCAGAAGGGAGAAAAGGGTTCTTTCCTTAGGCCTGATCCTGGTAGCTGCTATGACATCCTGTTTCATCTCTGTGTGTCTGAGGGGTGGCACAAAAAAATCCCATCCCTTCCCTCTCCCTCTGCATGCCATGGACACAGAACACTCAGCCAACCTCAGTTCCACCCATAGGGACATCAGAGCCAATGGCTCACTGAGCAACTCTGCAGCCCCCATGAAGCATGACTCTGACATCTCGAGAGGTCCCAGAGGCTGCACCATACCTGCCAGGATGGCTGTACCCCTATGCTCATGATGATCTCCCTAAGCCAGTTACTAGATAACCCTGGTCTTGACTTGCACTCTGAGGGTCTGAGTTTCCTGTGCGGGTTCTGCCTCTTTTGCCCACCACCAAACCCAAGAATTTATAAGTGCCTAAATTCACCATTCCCAAGCCTTTCACTAAAAGCCCCTAGAATCATAGACTGTAAATCCAGCTCAGAACAGAAAGTTCCAGTGGCCCTTGGTCTACCAGGTACAGATCAAAGAACAGTTTAGCTGAATATCAATGCTTTATTTTCTAGAGGAGGAGAGTGATTCTGAGCGAGTAGTTGGAAACCTTAAACAATCTGAAGAGCCTTACTATGGGCTGGTCTGTGAGCCCCCTACATAACCTAGCCTGCACTGATAACCCTGAGAAGGCCCTGAAACCTTGCTGTCTCACCTCTGCCCCTCTGGATCATCCATGCCCTCAGCACTGAGGAACCCCTTCGCTGTCTTATGAATGCAGGAAGTGAGCACAAGTGCATTGTCGACCACTGGAACACCTCCCAGACCACACTCTTAAGAACAGGTCTCTACATCACAGCATGGATGGCTCTCATAAGTGTAATGTGAGTGGAAGAAGGCAGACACCAAAGAGCACCTACTGCACAATTTCTATTGTTATAAAGTCCAAAAGCAGGTGAAACTAATCTGTGCTGATAGCTATCTGGACAGAGGTGACCTTGTGTGGGGCATGCCTGGAAGCGGGGCCTGTATGTCTCTGGGGGCTGGTTCTGTCTCTTTCCTGAGCAAGTGCTGGTTGCACAGGTGTGCTCCATTTGTGAGAACTCGCTGAGCTAAATATTCATGATGTACGTGCTTTTCTGTAAGTATGTTAACCCTTAGAGGAGAGTTTTCAATATCTCTAATTGCAGTGGGATGTCCTGCTTTATGACCGCACTTTTGGAGCCCGAAACAGAGGCCTGAGAAACACCTTAGGGGCCAGGCCCACACTTACCGGCTGCAGCCTGTCCTCCTGCCTCCTGCTATGACTTGGGCGGTTGATGAAAGACCTCGTGGACACTTTGTAGTGATTCAGCAGGCAGACAATAACCACGACCATCACTGTAATCACCACAATGATGATGATGATCTGGGCAAACTCCAGCTCCGCTGCGATGGAAGAGGAAACCATGTTAACCACATGCCCCCTTCACCATCACCCACCCAGTTCTCCGGACTCCATTTTTTTGAAGTGCTCTGACAACCACCAGACATTGAAGGCCTCTTACTTGAATCTGGTCCTCACAAGGACCTTATGAGAAAGAAGCTATTTCTCTCCAGGCCTGCTGCAAGACTGAAATTCTAATAACATTCACATAAAGGAAGGCTCAGGCATGAGACTCTTTCCAACAGACTTCTAGTGCTCAGAATAACCTTGGTGCTCAGACAAACCTTGCCTTTGCAATTTTATAATCAGAAGAGCCTTAGAAAAATGTATTCCATTGGCCCTATAAGACTTCTAGAGGTGCTGTGCTGTAACTGACCAGTCCATGAAACTCAAAGACCAGTCCATTGTGCATGCCACAGGCTGGGTGCCACACAGGCTGCTCCTTCTCGCTGGGCAGGCAGGTCCTTGAGGGCCAACTCTTGAGGTATGAAAGGCTCAATGTTCATCATCACCTATACTTGTTCCTGCCAAATGACATCCTCCTTCCTCCCGCCCCTAGGGGAGTTAAGAAAGTCTCTCAAAATCAAAGCTGCTTCTCCTGATGTAATCTTTCTAGGAAAGTTAAAACCATCTTATGGTTGAGTCAAGTTTCCCAAAGCACATCTGCACAGGATCCACATAGTACACTGAAAGGAAAATATATGTTGATAAAAAGCTCCAATCTCCTTTCCTCAAAGGCTCTGACTTTAGAAGTAATTTAGAAAACATATCTCTACTGTCTCCAACCCTGTGGGCACCATATTTTATGAGCAGTCATCACTGGGTTTCTGATACCACCATTACAAAAGATTTTCTAAATTCCATTAGCACATGCTTCACACATGAGTACAGTGCCATAAAGCTACTTCTAAAATAACAGCACATTGAGTTGGCAATTAGAGAGTTAGGTGATTTAAGTCCTTCAGAGGCTCAACGCTCAAGGTCAGCCCTAGAATCCAAACTTTTTGCTTTCTGTTTTCCAGCTCATGGCTCTGCTGAGTGTTGTCTACCTGTTTTCCTCTGAGTCTCGCACGCACAAAAAGGAAGTGACTGTCTGTGCAGTGGAATCAATTTCAAGAATGAGAGACTCGGGAAGATGGTAAGGAAGATAGTGTACAACTTTGTTGTAAGGTGGGGAGGTGTGGGGTACAATGACAAGCAAGAGAAAGAGGGGAGAGCTCTGTCAATTGTGCTACTGCCTTGAACTAGCAACACACACACTCACACATACATATACATGTGCACATAGAGACACACAAATACACACACATGCATACATGCACACAAACACATGTGTGAATACACCCATGCACACATACACATACATGCATACAAACACACATGCATGAATACACATACACACAAGGCATGTACACATACACATACACATGCACACACATGCACACACTCTTGCTGCAGCAGGACTCAGGCCACTGGCCAGTGGGGAAGCATCATCTCTCAGCATATGGGCTCACACCTGGGATGATGCAAAAGGAGACTGGAGAGTATCCTACCCCCAATATCTGCAGCTGTGTGCCTCCACCATCCACACTCGGGGAATAGAGGCGCAGGGGCTGGCATGGGAGTAGATGGAGGGTCTCCCTGAATCCCACCATGTCCTGTCCTGTAGCACTGTTCTCCACTTCTGCCCTCAGGCCCCACATACTCAAGGGATAAAGATTTACATAGTGCCTTCTGGACTGTGTTGGGTTGCACTTGACAATGGGCCTGTAGCGGGGCTGGCCCAGAGGTGCACCTTAGAGAATAGAGAGATGAGTGTGAAGGAACTGAACTGCTG